CCCGCGGAGCGGCTGGTAGTTTCGAACCGCTGACCTTAAGGTTCGCAGCCCGATTCGTAACCACTACGCTACCAGAGCTCCTTTGTTTTCACTGCCTTCTGCTGTAGCTGGGAGTGGGGGTACGGGGTGGGCCATGCAGCCTCAAGAATGCTTTCATGACTTTCTTTAGTGTTATAAATATTTTTGTTATTAAGTGCTGTCGAGTCCATTCTGATCCATAGCGTTCCTGTATGGGGTTTCCAAGGAGCAGCTGGTAAGTTTGAACCGCTGACCTTGCAGTTCAAAGTGACTTTGCAGTCCAGCGCATTAGCCCACAGTGCCACACCAGGACTTCAGTGTGGTACAGCCAGGAAGGTATCTGTAAGCAAACTGCTGGATCATCATAAGTCAGGTTTGGCCTCCTGCACATCATTGCTGAAGACCCTGCTAGCTCAGCTTCCCAGTCCTTTCCATACATTTTCTGTGCAGCTATCCCATTTTCTTCCCTTCTAACTCTTCTTTTCCCCACTTAGCCAAATAATGTATCAATTCTTCATTCTCTGTTATTTTACCTCTAATAATTTTTGTTATCCAAATGCACAAGTTATTAGGTCAATGCTCTGAAATAATCTTACCAGAGTTCCAGTTTTCGTATTGATTGTGTATGAGCTGTTAGTGCTCTGAGAGCCAAGTTTTGGGTTTGCTAGCAAACGGACACCATCCTTAAACCATGTGTATTCAGGAGCTGGATTCCCTTCTTTGTCTTGACATCGTAGCTCTACCACAGTTCCACTAAGAGCAGAATTGGGTACTTCACATGATGGAACTGCTGGAGCCACTAAACAATAAAAGTCAAATGATATTGGTCATTTACAAGCTAAACAAGGATTTTAACAGCCACATAAAGATGCATCTACTAGATACCTGGGTCAGAGACTGGCTATTTTTGCTCATCAAACACATTTTCTTTCTTCTTAGGCACACAGTCTCCTTGTAGCTAGACTGGGTCCTGTGTATAAGTCCTGGCCAATGAAATGTGGGTAAAAATGACATGCCACTTCTAGGCCTGCCAGTACAAACCACTGCATGATCTTCCATTCTTTTCTCTCTTGCTTTACAAAGAAGTTGTCAATCTTCTTTGTTGGGAAGCCAAGCACTGAAGATGTCAGAACCTACATTACCTTGAATCTCTAATGATTTATTGAAATAGAGCAACAAAACTCTCCTCTCCCAATTTCTTACTACCTCTCCCCTATGAGACTTTACTTAAATGGAAAAGAAACCTGTGTTATTTTAAGCCACTGAAAGTTCGGAGCTTATTTGTTACACCAGGGAACAGCATTACCTTAACTAATCCTTTATTTTTTATTGTTTTTTTTTTAATAAGAACAATTTCTACTTTTTTTTCTCTTACCAAGACTTTTCATGTCTTATTATCATCTATATTCAATGGAAATCAAACCTAAGTATATTTTTCAGGCCTGGTACTCAAACAAAAATGCCATTCTGTTTGGCCAAGTGAAATAATACCTGTTCTAGTAGCTATGGCTATTCTGGTTCCAGGAGTTTGTATAGTAAGTCAGACATTACTAGGTGATCTAATATCCAAGAAAACTAAGCAGTGACAATAGTAGGTAACATTCTGAAAGGTCCTCCAAGATTTCTGGTCCTGGTGCATATACATTCTCTTTCAGCTAGCTATTCAATAAAATAACAATTTAGGCATGTGAGACTTTCTGCTCCCATAAAGATTTACAGCTTCAGAAACCCTGTACAGGGTCGCTATGAGTCGGAACCAACTCCACGGCACACAACAACAACAACAACAACAAAGATTTACAGCCTCATGAGGATTAAATAAAATTCCATATGTGAAAGAGTCTGACACATAATGGTGGTGGTGGTTATATGCCATGGAGTCAGTTCCAACTCATAACGATCCT